AGCTCACGTGTAATCTGAAAAAATCCAACATGGTGGAAAGGGGACTACGAACTCGCAGCTGGGGCCTGCATACCTCCCAAATCCCATTGGTTGATACAAATCACGTGCCTGAAACTCGTGTTTTAATAAAACTTTTATGGTGCATTGTGACCCTAACCCTAACCCTAACCCTAATCCGGCCTAACCCTAACACTACTTAAAATGTAATTACAAAAATTAACTACATTTGTATCAACCAATGGGAGTTGGGAAGTATGCAGGCCCTAGCTGCGAGTGAACCAAGAAAGCCAGAACCCCTGAGTTTCGGAACAAATGCCGCGGAAAGTTGGCGAGTATTTGAACGCGAGTATGACATTTATGTCCCATGTGCGTTTAGTGGAAAATCCGCTAAAGTGAAAGCATATATGCTATTGAACTTTGCGGGACCGGAGGCAATCGAGAGAGAACGTTCGTTTGTCTATGAACCGGAACGTACAGACCCGGTAAATCCGAAAGCGGTAATACCGGCGAAATCAAGGGAAAATCCCGAGTGCCTGAAACGTAAATTCAGACAAATTTGTAACCCGAGGAGTAATGTGATATTGGAGAGGTTTAAATTTAACTCCCGAGTACAACAACAAGCTGAAACTATACAAACTTTTGCAGCAGATTTGCGCAATAAAGCAAGCACCTGTGAGTATGGGCAACTGTGTGATCAGCTGATTAGAGACAGAATTGTAATAGGAATCACAGCTGACGGTGTTCGGAAAATACTGTTGAGAGAAAGTGAACTCACACTGGATAAGGCCATACATACGTGTCAGATACACGAACTATCAGAACAAGATGCTAAGTTTATGCAAAATAAACTTAATTGTGATGTTGTCAGAGAACAGCGTACAGCACAGTGGAAAAGAAGACCACAAGCTAACGCATGGCCCAAGCAACCACAAACACACAACGGATACAAGCTATGTGGTTGTTGTGGTCGTAAGCATGACAAAGCTCGTGAGGCATGTCTAGCCTACAAGAAACAGTGTGTTTACGTGCAAAAAGTGGAACCATTTTGCTCAGATGTGCGGAATACCTCAGGAAGAACGCAGTCACACTCACAGCAAGTCAGTACATGAGTTAGGTATTGTAACAGTAGATTCTGTAGAAGAGGGGTTGTCGACGTTTACGATAGAGTTAGTAACGGGTTTGAACGATAACTCCAAAGACGACATTCACACTGAGTTGGAACTTAACGGAACCAAGACAACTTTGAAAGTCGACACAGGAGCTAAGTGTAACATCATGAGCTACAATACACTACGACAGTTACATGTACAACAGCTGCTAAGTACAGCTAAGAAAGTGAAGCTGATAGGATTTGGCGGTCACACTGTCACATCGATGGGAGTTGTAAACCTGTCGTATTTATACGACAAACAGAGTCATTCGCTTGTGTTTCATGTGGTAGACCACAATGCAAGGACACTGCTTGGACTCAAGGACAGCCTTCGTCTGGGATTAATCACATTGAGTGCAGACGTATATGAAGTCGTGTCAGAACAACAGACATTAGTTACAAGTGATGAACATGCATTACCAGCGGGTATATTGGATGAGTACAAGGACCTGTTTGATAACACCAGGGAAACTGCCAACACGGTACAAAATAACGGTTGATCCAGAAGTCACATCGATAATCCGGGCGGTAAGAAAAGTGCCAGTTGCTGTGAAGATAAGCTGAAAGAGGAGCTTGACAACATGGTTGCTAAGGGTATTATAGCACCAGTTACGGAACCTACAGATTGCGTATCTGCTTTAGTGGTGACTACAAAAAAGAACTCTGATAAACTGCGCATTTGCTTAGATCCCGGTGATCTTAATAAAGCAATCAAGAGACCTCGATATCTTTTGCGTACTATTGAGGAGGCAGTGTCAAACATTACCAACGCAAAATACTTTACAGTGGTGGATGCCAAACAAGCGTTCTACCATATTCCATTAAAGGAGAAGTTGTCATATCTGACATGCTTTGAAACACCGTATGGTCGTTACAGATACTGTCGCATGCCAATGGGAATCAGTTCAGCATCAGAAGTCTACCAGTCTGCAATAAAACATTTGCTAGCTGGATATCCATGTTTGGTGATGGTGGATGACATTCTGGTGTATGTAGCCACGGAATTGGAGCATGATGACAACCTCAAGAAAGTGTTAGAGCGTCTCCGAGAAATCAACTTAAAGTTGAGTGTGCGCAAATGTCAGTACAAGCTGCAAGAAGTACCATACATTGGACATGTACTGTCCAAGGACGGACTAAACCCAGACCCAGAAAAGGTCCGAGCAATCAGTGAAATGCCGACACCACAAGATGCGACTGACCTGCTTCGTTTTCTTGGAATGGTGAAATATCTCGCCAAGTTTGTGCCTAACCTCAGTGAAAAGGCAGCGCCGCTGAATGAACTGCTAAGAAAAGACAATGAATGGAAATGGGATATATCCCAGCAGCAGGCGTTCAACGAGATAAAGCAGAGTATTGCACAAGTGACAAATTTGGCGTATTTTGACGTCAAGAGAGGCGTAACACTCACATGTGACGCATCACAGAGTGGTCTTGGAGCAGCATGCCTACAAGATGGAAACCCAGTCGTGTACGCATCGCGTGCCCTAACACAAGCTGAAACAAGATACGCGCAAATAAAAAAAAGAACTACTCGCGGTGGTCTTCGCGTGCACAAGATTTCGTGATTACGTGTTTGGCAAGAAGGTGACGATTGAAACAGACCATCAGCCATTAGTATCAATAGTGAAGAAACCACTATCTGCAGCTCCAGCAAGATTGCAACGCTTGCTGTTGAGGCTGCAAAGCTACAGTTTTAACCTGGTATATAAGAACGGTAGTGATCTCTACCTAGCAGATACATTGTCGAGGGCATACTTGCCAATCAAGGACAGTGATATAGATCTAGAGAGCACACAGGACTATGAAATACTGTCAGTGTTGCCGATCAGAAGCTGGAGGAGCTAAAGGAAGCTACTTCCAACGACGTCACACTCAAAAAAGTTTACAGAGCCATTGTCATGGGTTGATCGAAAAGTAAACCTGAGCTCAAACCATTCTATCCATTTCGTGATGAACTGATTGAAGACGAGGGTGTGATACTAAAAAGTCAGAAAATAGTGGTACCAAAAGCACTGCAGCGTGAATACGCTAACTTAGTACATAGTGGTCGTTTGGGGGCAGAAGCCACCAAGCGTCGTGCAAGAGACATCAGGTACTGGCCAAGCATGTGTCGAGACATAGATGACATAATAGGCCAGAGCAACATATGCCATAGTACAAAATCGCACCAGTTGAGAGAACCACTACTACCATATCCAGTGCCAAGCAGACCATGGGCAATAGTCGGAACGGATCTATTTGAGTGCCATGGCATGATATATCTTGTCACAGTAGACTCGTACTCTGGATGGTTTGAACTGAACACAGTTAAGGACACATCGACTAAAACAGTAGTGCAGAAACTCAAATTGCATTTCTCCAGGTTTGGTATTCCAGACATGCTGATCTCCGATAGTGGATCACAGTTCACATCGAGAGAATTTAAGGAATTTGCAGTAGCATGGGGACTCCATCATACAATGAGCAGTCCACATTTCCACAGTAGCAACGGACTGGCGGAGAAAGCTGTTCAATCTGCTAGCTGCTACTTGAGAAATCGTTCAGAGACGGCACGGATCCTTACCTGAACATTCTGAATTGGCGCAATACGCCAAGAGACAACACATTGGGATCGCCAGCGCAACGGAATTTGTCGCGTCGAACAACCACAACAATTCCTACGGCTGAAGCTCTGTTAAAACCAGAGATATTGGACCCTGAGCGGATCCAACACCAACTGTCAGAGAAAAGACAGCAGCAGAAGAAGAATATTGACAAGTCATCTAAACCACTCATACCTTTGCATACAGGGGACACTGTTCGTATGCAAACAACGAAAGGGAATGACAAACTAGGTAACGTTGTCAAATTGGCGGACGAGCCAAGATCATACATTGTCAAATCTACAGAAGGGAGAGAATACAGAAGAAACCGGCGCCATCTGCTTAAGGTGCCAGCTGTTTCAGCAACACCAAATGCTGACATGCTTTCCACTTTAACAACCGTGAGTGCACCAACAGGTACAACCAACTCAACGGAAGCTAGGTATGTCTACCCGGAGACAATCGCAGAAGGCAGTCCAAAACCTGTGCCAGATCCCGGAGGCATTCCCAGAACAACGAGATGTGGGAGGATGATCAATCTTCCAGTACGATACGTAGTAAAGATCGCGTTGCGAGTGTAATAATGTAAACAATCGTGAGAAACGAATAATTGTGCTAAAGATAATTGACATTTGTGTAATGGTCATTTACATAATCCAGAAAGTTGTGTTAACATTTGTGAAAGATTTTCTGTTAATCTGTGGTGTTAAGACACAGAAGCAACTTGTGTTAGATTTCACTAGAGAATGTGCCAGTCGTGTGAGAGCGATTTATTTCTTTATAGTTCCGACATAGCTATCCTATAGTAGAAACTTATTTTGTTGTATTCTATATAATTTGTACAAGAGTACTATTGTTCTACAAAGGGAAGGATGTAGATTGGCCGGCGTGCTTTGTGTATACGTGGCTATGTGACCAGAGTTGTGTATGCATCCCGATAGGGGTCGCTTGCTCTCTCGGCTCGCTGGTGTGTGAAGTTAATAAACCGTGATCCAGTCTTGTCATAACAAAGTACTGTTATTATTATAGACTATATTTATGAAGTAACAAAACATAACAGAAGTACAGGAGGTAGAGGAGGTAGGAGAGAAGGTAGAGGAGGTAGGAGAGAAGGTAGAGGAGGTAGGAGAGAAGGTAGAGGAGGTAGGAGAGAAGGTAGAGGCAGTATAGGACTAGGAGAGAAGTACAGGAGGTAGAGGAAGATAGAAGAAGAGGGAGAGGAGGATGGGAGATGAGATATTATATTTCTGGGTGTATTCAGGTGGTGGGTCGTGGATCGTATGGTACAGTGAAGAGGGCGCTATGGAGAGACCGACCGGTGGCCGTGAAACTGATAGAGAGCGAGTCGGAGCAAAAAGCATTCCAACGGGAGGTATGTTCTTGTGTTGTCGTCGTCGTCGTAAATAATAATGATAATAATAATCATTATTATACTGTTATATTTTATATCTATATTAATTGTTGTATGTAATAATAATAATAATAATAATCATAATAATAATAGTAATCTATATAATAATTTGAGTAGTGTCATTCTGTTTGTTCCTGCATAACTTCTAGGCGCGTGCACGAATCCGGCTGAAATTTCTACGCATCAGGTTCGATTCTAACACTTTGCTTTTTGTTATTTATTGGGTTAAATGTTTAAAAAAACATATTTAGAAAATCAAATGGAAAATCTTCCTGGAAAACATGCACGATTCAGTTCACTTCAGCTAGGTGCGCTGGCTGTAGACTTACAAACACGCAACCACAGGCTAAGGGATACAGTAGTACAAAACTGACTGGCCAAAGAAAAATAATCGTATTAAACGGGTTCCGTATATTATATTAGCCTTAATTTGAAGAGAAAAACAATGGATTAGAAGGTGTGTACAAAGTGTTTTATATAGAAATGAAAATACCGGGACAGAAAATTTCATGTTAGTAACAGGATCCTTGTACGATTGTCTTCGTATCAAGTCAATATTTTACTAAAAGATTACTATGAATCGGGCCGGGATTTAGAGAAATCATCGTAGTCTCATCAGCGTAACGAGCGAATATGGTCGCCGGAGGCCGGAGGCGGCCAATTCGCGAGTAATAATAATATTAATGATGAAAATAAAGTTTATCTCAGTTAGATCCAAAACTGACGTGTCTTGTAAGTATTTATAAATTATTATAATTAATTATGGATCTAACTGAGATAAACTTTTATTTCCATGTGAACTATAGAGATCCGATGAAATTATTCAATCAATAATAATGATGATGATGTATATAATGGGGAGGGGGAGGGGTTGGCTAGCAGGTCATTAAACCATCTCTTCCACGATTCGTTTTCTCACTGGACGGTCAATTTCATTTTTTCCCCTCTCTCGATCACTCTCTTTCTCTTTTTGGCTCTCTCTGTCTCTCCCTCTCTATTCCCCCCGCTCTCCCACCCTTACTCTATCGTTGTATTTGTAGGTGAGGCAGTTCTCTCCCTCTCCCCCTCCCTCTCTCTCCCTCTCTCCCGCTCCCTCCCGCTCTCCCCCTCCCTCTCCCTCTCTCCCGCTTCTCTCCCGCTCCCTCCCGCTCTCTCCCGCTCTCCCCCGCTCTCCCACCTTCACTCTATCGTTGTATTTGTAGGTGAGGCAGCTCTCGCGCGTCCGTCATCCTAACATAGTACAGCTGTACGGAGCCTGCACCCAGCAACAAGTGAGTGACCTTTGTATGACCTCTGCACGACCCCCACATAACCTCGGCGAGAATAGACTGGTTACCTGTCCTTGCCTTTTTTTGCTGCTCGGCGCATGCGGTTATTGTAACTCGTTTGTTACATCGGGGTGTAAATAATTTATGCGGGCGCGTGCGGTCGTGAGTTAGGGCAGGAATAGACTGGTTACCTCAACCTGTGCATGGGTGTAGAAGGTGGGTGAGGAGGGAGGAGGTGGATGGGTGCAGAGGGAGGGGGTGAGGAGATGCGGACGTAGGAGTCGTTGTTCATTGAGGGTGGGTGTGGAGGGAGGGGTGTGGAAGGTGGGTATGGAAGGTGGGCGGTTGGGATGAGAAGGGGCTGACATGTGGAGAGAGGGGGAAAGGTGGCGGGAGACGGTGGGCAGTCCTCATTAATGTGGGAGGGGTGGGTGGATGCAGAGGGAGGGGGTAGGTGGGTGGTTAGACAGGGAGAAGGGGAGAGGGTTGACATGTGGTGGGCAGCCCTCATTGATGCGTGGCTTCCTTCCTTGCAGGTGTGTCTAGTGATGGAATATGCAGAGGGAGGATCCTTGTACAATGGTAAGTACGGAGAGAGCGAGGGGGAGAGAGAGAGAGAGAGCGAGAGAGCGTGCGCGCGAGAGAGAGAAAGAGAGAGCGCGAGAGAGAGAGAGAGCGAGGGGGGGAGAGAAACAGAGAGCGAGAGAGCGTGCGCGCGAGAGA